TGGAGCTGAAACACAATACGAGAACTTCGCGAAGCATGCACAAGTTTCAACAGCCGAATTGACCAAGCAGAAGAAAGGATATCAGAGGTCGAAGATCAACTCAATGAAATAAAACCAGAAGGCATGATTAGAGACAAAAGGGTAAAAGGAATGAACAAAGTCTCCAAGAGATGTGGGACTATGTGAAAAGACCTAATCTACATTTGATAGGTGTACCTGAATGTGACAAAGAGAATTAATCCAAGCTGGAAAATACTCTTCAGGATGTTATCCAGGAAAACTTCCCCAACCTAGCAAGGCTGGCCAATATTCAAGTCCAGGAAATACAGAGAACACCACAAAGATATTGCTCAAGAAGAGCAACCCCAAGGAACATAATTGTCAGATTCACCAGGGTTGAAATGAAGGAGAAAATGCTAATGGCAGCCAGAGAGAAAGGTCGGGTTACCCACAAAGGGAAGCCCATCAGACTGACAGATGAAGCCCATCTGTTTCAGCAGATCTCTCAGCAGAAACCCTACAAGCCAGAAGAGAGTGTGGGCCAATATTCAACATCCTTAAAGAAAAGAACTTTCAACCCAGAATCACATATCCAGCCAAACTAAGCTACACAAGTGAAGGAAAAGCAAAATCCTTTGCAAACAAGCAAGTACTCAGAGATTTTGTCACCACCAGACCTCCTCTACAAGAGCTCCTGAAAGAGGCTCTATACATAGAAAGGAACAACCAGTACCAGCCACTCCAAAAACATACCAAATGGCAAAGAGCATCAACACAATGAAGAATCTGCATCAACTAATGGGCAAAAGAGCCAGCAAGCACCAAAATGGCAGTATCGAATTCACACATAACAATATTAACCCTAAATGTAAATGGACTAAATGTCCAAATCAAAAGACAGAGACTGGCAAATTGGATAAAAAGCCAAAACCCATTGGTGTGCTGTATCCAGGAAACCTATCTCACATGCAAGGATACACAAAGGCTCAAAATAAAGGGATAGAGGAAGATTTACCAAACAAATTGAGAGCAAAAAAAAAAGCAGGAGTTGCAATTCTCATCTCTTATAAAATAGACTTTAAAGCAACAAAGATCAAAAGAGACAAAGAAGGACATCACATAACGGTAAAAGGATCAATGCTACAAGAAGAGCTAACGATCCTAAATATATACGCACCCAATACAGGAACACCCAGATACATAAGGCAAGTTCTTAATGACTTACAAAGAGACTTAGACTCCCACACAATTATAGTGGGTGACTTTAACAACCCATTGTCAATATTAGACATATCGACCAGACAGAAAATTAACAAGGATACCCTGGACTTGAACTCAGACCTGGAACAGGCAAACCTAATAGACATTTACAGAACTCTCCACCCCAAATCCACAGAATATACATTCTTCTCAGTACCACATCACACCTACTCTAAAACTGACCACATAATTGGAAGTAAATCACTCCTCAGCAAATGCAAAAGAACAGAAATCATAACAAGCAGTCTCTCAGACCACAGTGCAATCAAGTTAGAACTCAGAATTCAGAAACTAACTGAGAACTGCACAGATTCATGGAAACTGAACAACTGCACTTGAATGTTGATTGGATAAACAATGAAATGAAAGCAGAAATAAAGATGTTCTTCAAAACCAATGAGAATGAAGACACAACATACCAGAATCTCTGGGACACATTTAAAGCAGTCTCTAGAGGAAACTATATAGCAATAAGTGGCCACATGAGAAGTAAGGAGAGATCGAAAATTGACACCCTATCATCAAAATTGAAAGAGCTAGAGGAGCAAGATCAAAAAAACTCAAAACCTAGCAGAAGACAAGAAGTAGCTAAGATCAGAGCAGAACTGAAGGAGATAGAGACACAAAAAACCCTTCAAAAAATCAATAAATCCAGGAGCTGGTGTTTCAAAAAGATCAACAAAATAGACAGGACACTAGCCCGATTAATAAAAAAGAGAATAACCAAATAGATGCAATAAAAAACAATAAAGGGGATATCACCACAGATTCCACAGAAATTCAAACCATCATCAGAGATTATTACAAACAACTCTATGCACATAAGCTAGTAAACCTGAAAGAATTGGATAAATTCCTGGACACTTGCCTCCTCCCAAGCCTAAACCAGGAAGAAGCCGAAACCGTGAACAGACCCATAATGAGGTCTGAAGTTGAGGCAGCAATTAAGAGACTACCACCCAAAAAAAAGCCCAGGTCCAGATGGGTTCACAACCAAATTGCACCAGACATACAAAGAGGAGGTAGTACCATTCCTTCTGAAATTACTCCATATAATCCAAAAAGAGGGAATCCTTCCCAAATCATTTTATGAGACCAACATCATCCTGATACCAAAACCCGGCAGAGACTCAACAAGAAAAGAAAACTTCAGGCCAATATCCATGATGAATATAGATGCAAAAATCTTCAATAAAATACTGGCAAGCCAATTACAACAACACATCAAAAAGCTTATCCACCATGATCCAGTAGGATTCATCCCTGGGATGCAAGGCTGGTTCAACATAAGCAAGTCTGTAAATGTAATACACCACATAAACAGAACGGAAGATGAAAACCACATGATTATTTCAATTGATGCAGAGAAGGCCTTTGACAAAATTCAACAACCCTTTATGCTAAAAACCCCTAATAAACTAGGTATTGATGGAACGTATCGCAAAATAATAAAAGCTATTTACGACAAACCAACAGCCAATATCATACTTAATGGGCAAAAACTGGAAGCATTCCCTTTGAAATCTGGCAGTAGACAAGGATGCCCTCTCTCACCACTCCTATTCAGTATAGTACTGGAAGTTCTAGCCAGAGCAATCAGGCAAGAAAAAGAAATAAAGGGTATTCAAATAGGAAAGGAGGAAGTCAAATTGTCTCTATTTGCAGATGACATGATTGTATATCTAGAAGACCCCATCGTCTCTGCCCAGAATCTCCTGAAACTGATAAACAACTTCAGCAAAGTCTCAGGATACAAAATCAATGTGCAAAAATCACAAGCATTCCTATACACCAATAACACACTTAAAGAGAGCGAAATCAAGAACGAACTGACATTCACAATTGCCACAAAGAGAATAAAATACCTAGGAATGCAACTAACAAGGAATGTAAAGGACCTCTTCAAGGAGAACTACAAACCACTGCTCAGCGAAATAAGAGAGGACACAAACGGAGAAATATTCCATGTTCTTGATTATGAAGAATCAATATCATGAAAATGGCCATACTGCCCAAAGTAATTTACACATTCAACGCTATCCCCATCAAGCTACCAATGACCTTCTTCACAGAACTTGAAAAAAACACCTTAAACTTCATATGGAACCAAAAGAGAGCCCACATACTCAAGTCAATTCTAAGTAAAAAGAACAAAGCGGGAGGCATCACACTACCGGACTTCAAACTATACTACAAGGCTATAGTAATCAAAACAGCATGGTACTGGTACCAAAACAGAGATATAGACCAATGGAACAGAACAGAGGCCTCGGAGGCAACATAGTATATCTACAACCATCTGATCTTTGACACATCTGACAAAAACAAGCAATGGGGAAGGATTCACTGTTTAATAAATGGTGTTGGGAAAACTGGCTAGCCATGTGCAGAAAGCAGAAACTGAACCCCTTCCTGACACCTTACACTAAAATTAACTCCAGATGGATTAAAGACTTAAACATAAGACCTAACACCATAAAAACCCTAGAAGAAAATCTAGGCAAAACCATTCAGGACATAGGCGTAGGCAAGGACTTCATGACCAAAACACCAAAAGCATTGGCAACAAAAGCCAAAATAGACAAATGGGACCTAATCAAACTCCACAGCTTCTGCACGGCAAAAGAAACAGTCATTAGAGTGAATCGGCAACCAACAGAATGAGAAAACATTTTTGCAGTTTACCCATCTGACAAAGGGCTGATATCCAGAATTTATGAAGAACTAAAACAGATTTACAAGAAAAAAACAAACAAGCCCATTCAAAAGTGGGCGAAGGATATGAACAGATACTTTACAAAAGAAGACATACATGAGGCCAACAAGCGTATGAAAAATGCTCATCATCACTGGTCATCAGAGAAATGCAAATCAAAACTACATTGAGATACCATCTCACGCCAGTTAGAATGGCAATCATTAAAAAATCTGGAGACAACAGATGCTGGAGAGGATGTGGAGAAATAGGATCGCTTTTACACTGTTGGTGGGAGTGTAAATTAGTTCAACCATTGTGGAAGACAGTGTGGCGATTCCTCAAGGACCTAGAAATAGAAATTCCATTTGACCCAGCAATCCCGTTACTGGGTATATATCCAAAGGATTATAAATCGTTCTACTGTAAGGGCACATGCACACAAATGTTCATTGCAGCACAGTTTACAATAGCAAAGACCTGGAACCAACCCAAATGCCCATCGATGATAGACTGGATAGGGAAAATGTGGCACATATACACCATGGAATATTATGCAGCCATCAAAAACGATGAGTTCGTGTGAACCTGGAAACCATCATTCTCAGCAAACTGACACGAGCAGAAAATCAACCACCGTATGTTCTCACTCATAGGCGAGTGTTGAACAATGAGAACACATGGACACCAGGAAGGGAGCACTACACACTGGGGTCAGTTGGGGCGAAATAGGGGAGGGACAGCGTGTGGAGGGGTGTTGGGGAGAGATAGCATGGGGAGAAGTGCTAGATGTGGGTGATGGGGAGGAAGGCAGCAGATCACACTGCCACGTGTGTGCCTATGCAACAATCTTGCATGTTCTTTACATGTACTCCAAAACCTAAAATGCAATAAAATTAAAAAAAAAAAGAAAGAAATATATAATGCAAAGAATAATTTGCAAAAGCGTAAATATTATGGCTACTTATTTGAAAATTTCCACAAATAGCAAGTAACCTATTTGAGGATGACTGTGACTGCCCACTCACTGGACTCTTCCTCTTACCTGTTGTGTGCTGAGACTGCAGAGTATGACTTCTCCAGAGGCTGTGGCCACACACACAGACTCCTGATCCAGCAAGTCCTGAATGCCAACAATGTGGCCACTTCCATCCTCTGGGAGAAAGCCTTCTGCCACCAAAGAAACTTCATTTTTCACCTTTACGAAAGTATACAGAGAAGTGAAGTAACCTAGTCTACTTTCAAGAATAAGTGATAACATTTCCAGAAATAAAATACTTTTTAATTTTTCTTTTATCAAATAAAAGCTTTGAAAAATGTTTTTTCTAGATGAAAATCCAAACTTTCATTTGAGAAATATCACCACTCTCGTTTTTAACAAGAAAAATAGGTAACATGACCTTTTTGCCAAACAAACACAAAAATAAAAACAATAGGCTTGGTCTCTTTAAAAATGTGCAATAAGACATGATGTTAATAATTATGTTTTTCTAAGATTTCCATAGTATGGGGAAAAGGCACTAAAGAATGTAACTGCCTAAAATGTATTAGTAGAAGAATATAATCAAAGGAACATACCAAAACCAGGCCACAGAGGTTTTAAAAGTAGATATGGTTAGCAGCCAGTACTAAAGATTCTGATTTAGTTGATATGAGATATGGGCTCAAGCTTTTAGAAAGCTCCACCAGCAACTTGTATGTTCATTCCCAATTGAAAACCACTATTATAAACAGAATTTGCATGACCACAAGGGTAAAAAGTAGGGTACCCGCTCAAAAAGTAAGGTCAGTTTTTCTGACTCAGGTTAAAATTGTAGCAGAGTTAAAGATGGGTTACTATTTAAGCTATGTCTAACATGGCACATATATGAAGCAAAGAGAATATTTAGGATATAGATTCATAAGAGGTATGAAATTCACAAAGACTATGTGGGGAAAGAAATTTGGAGGAAGGCAAGTCAAGGGTTATACCCATGTGTTGGCATTCTCCATCACTAACGTACTTCTCTTGAGACAGGATCTACTTCTATAAGTCCATGTTCTGAGCCAATGAGCACTGTCCCCTGTTCAGTTCGGAGAGAGAAGCACTGAGGTTTCCCTGGACCTTGAATATCCCTGAACTCCAGGGTCCGAAATAACTTCAGATTTCGCATGATGAAGTGATTCTCACGACACAAGTACCACTACCCCTTGATGAACCATTAATCCCTAAGAGAGAAAGAAATAGCTTAGTAGAGATAACTGACCATACTTATTTAAGTGAAGTGATTCAGCAGGTGAAGAAGTGGTAGTTAGAATCAGAGTAACAACAAAACAAAACAAAACAAAACTTACCTCTCTGAGTACACACCCATGTATGGATTGTAGCAGCAACCTAACCCACTCTATATCGCTATGGTCTACAAATTAAGAATTCTGAAAGCTATTTTATGTTCTCACTCTTTAAAAGAGGCAACTTTTAGAATGTTTTCTTCAATAAAGATACAATATCAGTTATTCCTTTGAGAAAGCTGAAAGAACAAATGAATGGGGAAACTTTATTTTTGCGTATTAGGGACATCTTTATAAAATCCTAAAGAAAAACAAAAGGGTATCCCATTGATTAGCACTATTTGAAAATGCATGTTTATATACTGGCAGTTGAAGAGAATCTGAAATGACTTTAATATTCACGAAGTCTATTAATTTATAAACTGGATTTATACATTCATAAAAATATTGAAATCAAAGATAGAAAAGCATTTACTGTTCTAAGGGGGAAAGAGAAAATACTGAGACATGACAAAAATTTACTTCAAAATGATGACCAACGTTCCATGGAGCTTGATGACCTGACATAACTACCAGTAACTTCATTCTTCTGGCCAGGCTTTTTCCAGCACCATACGAAACGTGAGAAAAGAGTGCTAAACAGGACATCTACTGTGGTCTGGCAAAATCAGACTTGCTTAAATGCATAACATTACCTAAGTAGGAAAAAAAAATGTTAGTGTGCTATTTATATTCAGATCCCTTTAAGGTTCATGACTGTAAGTCCTAATTTCTGTTAGGAGTAGCAATTACAAGGACCACACTGGCCTTTGTTGTCACTTTAGTCCGAGGAGAATTCTCTCATCTTGGCACCCCACACATGTATGACATAGAAAGAATAAAAATGAATCAATCCTAATAGTACACAGAAGATAATATCAAGTATAATAGGAACTATATAATCTGGGATAAGAGGAAGGCAAGATTATATATGGTGGAAGTGAGGAAGACAAGGCAGACAATGATTTTAGTAAGTTTTGGTGACATTTATTTTTTTTCAAGGGTTTAAAATATAATTTTAATAAAGTATATATAAACTGTAGATGAAAATGGGAAATATGAAATCTGGCAAAAGTCTTTTGGCTTTCTTACAAATGATATCCTTATAATTCCCCAACTATCAGAGGGTGAAATATTTTTCTAGAAAAAAATAAAATGATTGCAATTCAATTGTATTTCCTATGATACTTTATGTATCAGAGTCACTTGCACATTCTGGTCTGCTGTCATCTGGCCCATCACTTTCCTTACCCCAGTCTTTCATAGATGCTCCCATCATGAATTCATCACATAGGATCGTCCAACTTGGGCCCTCTTCTGATTTCACTTCAGCCGGTTTGGTTTTTGGTTTCTTCCTGCTTGAAGTAGTCTCATTTGTATGTACTTCCACCCATTCCTCTCAAAACATTGATGAAATCTTTCTCGGAAACAGTAGATATCAACTTAGCACACTTTCTAATAGAGCTTTCAGCTTCTTTAACCTTTTCATCAACGTTCTTTTGATGTTTCTGAACGGCATTATATAATTGCACCACACCCCTTGTTGCAATTCTCTGAAGATTTCCATCTCTTTGTTTTGGACAATATCGGGCTTCACTTTGCACATTGTTTCCCACTCCAGCCTCTTATCACGTTGTTTTATTTTCTCTAGTCTTTCTTGCTTTAACTTCTCTTTTTCCTTTTCCAGCTTATTTTTGACCAGAATAGTAGGTTTACTTTCAGGAGTTTGCTTGTTGAGGACTTTAGCCATGGTCATCTGCCCAGCCCGTAGTCCCAATACTTGATTCTCGTCATTTTCATTTTCTTTGTCACAAGGCTCAGTATCACCCTCACTGTCAGCTTCTATTGCTTCATCATCAGAATAAAAGTGGTCTTTTTCTGAGTCACAACTTCCTACAGAACCTCCGCTATCGGAAATGTCCGTGCCCTTGCCTTCCAGCACCAATGCTACGGCTCCAGTTACCATTTTCATATTCTTCTCTGAGGTCTTTTTCCAGATTTTCCTCCGCACTCACACCTGAGTCAGGAACGGCGGCTGCCATTTTTCCATTCCGGAAGTTTTTACGTCACCTGACAGTTGCGTCTGGTGGCAAACAGAGGAACTTCTGCCTTGGTGACATTTAGATTCAAGAACTTCTAGAAATTACTTGAAAACTCTATCATATCATGCAGCCTTTTTTTTTTTTTTTTTTTTTTTTTGAAGCGGAGTTTTGCTCTTGTTGCCAAGGCTGGAGTGCAATGGCGCGATCTCAGCTCACCGCAACTTCCGCTTTCCAGGTTTGAGCCTCAACCTCCGAGTAGCTGAGATTACAAGCTCCTGCCACCACGCCCAGCTAATTTTTGTATTTTTGGTAGAGACAAGGTTTCACCATGTTGGCCAGGCTGTTCTTGAACTCCTAACCTCAATGATCCACCTGCCTCTGCCTCCCAAAGTGCTGGGATTACAGGCCTGAGCCACTGTGCCTGGCCGCGTTTTTCATCTTTAAATATCATAAAAATGCCTCAAAACTAGTTTCTCTGAAATTTCACACCCATCAGTTTTATTCCCTTATCTTCTTAGAGGAAGACTTGCCTCCACTTCTTTCCAGGCTAGGAAAGGAATGTCCTCCATATTGCCCCAGGACCTAGGCCTAATGGTACTCTGTTTGACATCTGCAACCTTCAACTTCCCTGCCTCCACTGATTCAATTTTTCTCAGTCCTTAAATGTGCTAAAGATCCCTCCACACCAAAGGTCAATCGTGGATTCTCTCTTAATTTTCTGACAACTCCTTCATTTTCCTCCCTTGCTCCTTCAACTATCCACCTCTTGGCTAGACATCATACGTATGATTACGTGTACCATGGAGATCACGAATATGCTGATTAGGCCTAAATACCCCTAGCTCTGACTGAATTAGCCCAAACTGAACACTAAACCCACATTTTCAACCTCCTGTTAGAATCACAAGCATGTTTCACATGCACATCAAATAGGACATGGAAAGCAAAGAACTTGCTATTCTTGCACTAAATGACAGTTCCCACTATTTGGAGACAGGGCATTTCTACTCTCTCTCTGTTCCCAAGCTGAAAAACTGTCTTTGCTGCCTTTCTGCTTACTCTTCATATTGATCTATTCACTGATTAGCGCCGTGGCTGTCAATATACAGTTGAATTCTTTACAATCTGGTTTGTGGCCTACATCCAACACTGAGCTACTTGCTAAGTGCTGGGATCTGGATATTACTCAGACAGCCACCGTCTCCACAGAGATCATCGTTAACGGGAAAGAAAGCCAGGCAAAACACCACGTTAGATAGAGAAGCACACGGGACACCACCTCCACGAAAAAGTCGCAGCCGCGAGAACGGACCAGCACCACAGTACCCAAACCTCTATTAACCGCCGCCTTCCACTGTGGGTTAATGCTCTCGCTTTCAGCGTTATTATCCACCCTCTGCATGAAAGCAGGAGTCTGGGTTAAGTGCGGCTGGAGGCACAGCAGGTATCCCCGGGCTTTCGCGCCTCCCAGCTCCCCCGATGGAACAGGTGGCAAGACTGCAAAAAGGATTTAAGGCTCTAGGAGAGAAGGTGCATCCCGCACTTCACTCCCCGGCCTGCAGCAGGCAGAGGAGCCTCCGGGTCTCCTTCACCAGAACACCGCTGGCGGAGGAGTCCATACGTGTCTCTATCTTGGATGGATCGCTCACCTAAGGACCCCCAAACGCAGGTGCGTCCGGCCTCTCCTCCCCAGCCACGCGCAGCCGGCTACCCAGAGTCCACTCCGAATTGCGCACGCGCCTCTATCAGCGGCTCTCACTCTCTCACGAAGCGCTCCAAGTGTCTGAGGCGGAAGCGCTCTACTTGAGTAAAGGCTGCAGCACTGCAAGGAGTCCAGCGGCGCAGGGGTCGCGTCAACAGGGCGGGCCCAGCACGCGGCGCGCGAGTGACGTCACCACAGACGGAGGGGGCGTGGCCTGGCCGGCTTCCCTGGTCACCTACGGAGGCCGGCCTTCTTTGTAGCCTTGGCACCGTAGAGGTAGAGGAGCTACATTGGTCGCGTCCGCTGTCCCTCTGTCCCCCTGTCCCCTTCCCACCTGCCCTACTTTTGTATTTGATCTGTTTTGATGTCGGACTTCAAAGCACAGCAATGGGGGGGCGGAGCAGGGAGCAGCGTGCGTGCGCATGACACACGCCGCGCGCCGGAAGAACACTCCTAGTCCTGGCTGCGCGGTGAAAACGCTCGGGCGCGGGAGGGCGGGGTTGGCGGCGCCGGAGGTCGCCATGGCTACCGCTCCCGAAGCTGCGGAGCCGGTGGTGCCTTCACTCGTGGATCGGTACTTCACTCGCTGGTACAAAGCGGGTAAGTGAGGAGTGATGTTGATCTCTGATTGGCTGCATTGGCCTAACGCTGTAGAGACTACGTTGGCAGGTCATAAACCACGCGCGCTCTCCCTGGCGCTCCCTCCCCACGTTAGAAGGAAGTGGACTTCTGTGTTCCGTCTAGGTCCAGGGAATGGCATTTGCAAAGAGATGGTGGCCTGAAATACAGCAGGGAGCATTCTGGGGCCAGCGATTGCAGTGCGAGCTCTAGGGTGTGGCTCGCCGAAGATGAGTACTCTAAACGGAGTCCCCGAAGGTAGGCAGAGGACTAGGTTACAACAGTCCTTAAGTGCCTGGAGGGATTGAGGGGCAAAATCTACACATTTACTTAAGGAGACCGGTATGTTCATCTGCCACTTAGAAGTAGGTATTCTTTTTGTGTAAGCAGTACCAGTGGCGGGAGCATCGTTGAGGACTCTTCGCTAACCCCTAGTTTCTTCCTTTCATTCAGTGATAATAGGTATATTCAGTTTAAAAAATACATTGTAGCATATTTTCTGTTGGCCCAAAATAGGGTGACCAACTGTCCCAGTTCACCCATGACTGAGGGGTTTCCCAGAATGTCAGACTTGCTGCACCAACATCAGGACAGTCCTGGAAACCACCAACAAAAAATATACTGCTATATTATAAAAAATGGGATGCTAATTGGATTTTCCTAGTAAAAATACTGTGTGTACTCATTTTGAAGTGAGGGTAAAGTAAGATGGAGCAAGGAATTAATCACCTTAACGTTGAGTAAATTATTCTGTCTGGGCCAGAGCTCTTTAAATACTTTATAGGAAGCCTTTAAGTATGTCTTTTTGAGTAATGAAGGGATACCAGTGATCAGCATGCAGCATGTATGTGTCCAGTCTTTATTAACTATCTCCATGACCCAAAGAAAGTACCACATAGTGGTAGTAAATACTGATTTCAGACTCATTTATTCTTTTAGATGTCAAAGGAAAATCTTGTGAGGATCACTGTATACTACAGCACTCTAACCGGTAAGCAAATTAGGAATTTTAAATGATCAAAAACTTTTTTCTTCTGGTATTCTAGCCTGGTATTGTCGCCTGGTATTGTCTTGGATTGAACAAATGTTCACTAAACAAACATGCACTAATTATCTTCTACTGTGTTGAAATGATATTATTAAAGGAGTTTGGCAAGAATGAGTATTCCAGTGCCTGGCCACTCTCAACAAATAAATTTGATTACTCAAACATCCAAATGGAGGACCACATCATCAGCTGCTACCTAAAGTGGCCAGTCCGTGCCCAACTACTGAACTGTTAGAGCCCACAGAAAGGGCTATGGTAGAGATATATATGGTATCTCGTATACACAGGCATGCCTTCTTTGTCTTCTACCCCAGTGCTACCTACCTAAAGACCTCTGGTCCTCTTCCCTTTCCTGGAAAATAAATTCAATCTTGTTTTCTCTTTTATTATTGTATTCTCCATTCTACAGTTATGCTCCAGTAATAACCAGAGAAAAAAGGGAGAAGATGATAGTTTGACTAAACAAATACCAGTTCATACATTCTTATTCAAATAGGAGTTATGGGAGGAAAAATTATTATTCCAAGCAATTACACAGGACCATTTTTTTTCTCCTTGTAGAATATGTGTCATCACATTGGCAGAATCTCATCCAGTTCTTCAAAGTGGAAAAACAATTAAAAGCATTTCCTATCAGATCAGTACCAACTGTAGCAGGCTTCAGAACAAGGTCTCTGGGAAATTTAAGCGGGTATGTTCCTGTAATTCTGTGATTATCTACTTACATCCTCTATATTCATGGTAATGATAGATACAATGAACCTTAGAATCCAGTAGCATATGCTTAGCATACTTCTCTAGCAGTTTGAGGTGCTGATTTTAGGTACACTTTAACCTAAAGAAATTCTCATACTCCCAAAAATTAGGTATCTCAGGAGATATAATATCTGTTACATTAGGTTCTGTGCTACTATCCCTATAATGCCCAGGATGGAGGAGGTGGAAGGCAGGCCTTTGAAAGGAAACTCTAATAGCAATATAAGAAGATATTTTATCGCTTCTAGTTATATTAAACTAGTATCTTGAGTTCTGTAAAATTTATGTGACCAACTCTTCTTTACTGTGTATTTCCATATATAAATTAAACAGAAAAAAAATCTGAAGGGAGTAAGGGAAAAAAAAAAAAAGGCCAGGCACAGTGGTTCACACATGTATGCGGTTTGGGAGGCCAAGGTGGGTGGATCATGAGGTCAGGCGTTCAAGACCAGCCTGGCCAACATGGTGAAATCCCATCTCTATAAAAATACAAAAACTAGCCAGGAGTGGTAATGAGCATCTGTAATCCCAGCCACTCAGGAGGCTGAGGCAGGAGAATGGCTTGAACCTAGGAGGTGGAGGTTGCAGTCAGCTGAGATCGCGCCATTGCACCCCAGGCCTGGGCAGCAGAGTGAGATTCTGCCTTCCCCCCTCAAAAAAAAAACATGAATACAAGAAAATATATGCTATTTCTCCTATTTTTCCATTTCTAAAGCACTGTCAGTGTAATACACATTTACCCGCCCCCTGTTCAATACAATATTCAGTTATACAGAATGCTCTCTCTACCCTCTATAACTCTAGGCAAGATGGACAGATTATTAAAAGAGAGTATCACACCAAAGAGAATTTAATGACATATTAAAATGTCTTGACAAACCCACTGGTTGGGAAAGTTCCTGTGAATGATGTAAGTCCTTCATTTACTGAGCTCATACTAAGAGTTGATTGCTCTCACTATTCCAGGGGACCCTTATGTAAACCCCGCTTTGTAGGCCTGAAGTCCCCTAATAATGTACCTTACAATTATTGATTTTTCCTCACTCAAGAAACTAGTAGACTTAGAAAAGCAGGCACTTTTCTTAAAAGATAAAGTCTACAAGTTACAATAAGTATAATACTTAAGACTTCTGAAGTTTCTATGATAAATCTTGGTCCACAATAGTAACACTTAAGGCAGGTACAGTTGCTCATGCCTATAATCCCAGCACTTTGGGAAGCCGAGGCGGGAGGATCACTTGAGGCCAGGAATTTGAGACAAACCTAGGCAACATAACAAGACCTCATTTCTACCAAGAAAACAATTTTTTTTTAACTTAGCTGGGCATGGTGGCATGCACCTATAGTTCCAGTTACCCAGGAGGCCGAGGTGGGAGGATTGCTTAAGCACAGGAGTCAAGGCTGCAGTGAGTCATGATGGTACCAGTGCACTCCAGCCTGGATGACAGAACAAGACCCCATCTCAGAAAAAAAAAAAAAAAAAAAAGTAACACTATTGTTACAAGTGAACAGAGAGGGACCTGCATATTGAACCCACTACAGATAAGTTTTCATTGGATCTCAGAACTGCCAGTCATTCTCCCAAAGGAGGTGATAAAAAGGCATCAAAACACTTCTGCTCTTTTGGCACAGACCTAGCTCTTTTGTGTCTGCTCTTTTGACACAAGCCATCCCCTTCCTTCCAGAAGCAGACAGTCACAATGACTCTACTATTTTGAAATGAAGAACGCATGTGCAGAGGAGTGAAGCCAATGTAGTAATATCTGAATCCCATCTAAAAATGTTTTGAGTGGTTAAATAAAGGGGTCATAAAGAATGACATCTTAAACTCAAATGCCTATGTCCACTACAGGAAAAATTCCTGAGGAAAAAGAGGGTGACACATGAAACATGCCTGCATTGGCTTTCATGAGCCTCCCTGTAGATACTTGTCAGAGTCTCCCCAGGTATATCCATCCATTGGAGTAAATGAAACAACAACCATCCTATAACATTCAAACACATATACACCAAAATCTAGTATTGACTAATGGGTAAATTATTTTGCTACTTAAAACTTTTATTTTCCACATTTTCTCAATTGCATGCTTTGTTTTTGTTTTTCTTAATTAGAAAAATATCCCTTACTAACATACTAGGGATTTAAAAAGAGAGAGGAGGAAAAAAAAAAAATCCCTTCTTCAAAAAAATCTTAGTAATTGATCCTGGTAAATAAGTTCCTTTACTTATTAAGTTCTAATATTAAAATGAGGTAGGAATCTTAATGAAACTAACGTTATACAATATTGCTGTCATACTGTGTCATGTTGAATTTTACATGATTTCTTGTTGATGGATTTTCCCACACTTTTGAAATCCTTATACCTGGTTATACGTAGCCTTCTCATTTATAGTTGATAAAATATATCGTTAGTCTGTAACTAAATTCCCATATATCATGTGTCTCAGCTTTTTATCCCTAGAGCCTAGGATGGCATGTGGCACACAGTAGGTACATTCATATATGTTTTGAAATTAATTAATGGATTTTATATACTTAAGTCATTTTGATTTAAAACACCAGTTCCAGGAATACATCCTGTTATACACCTAAGGGCTACTTCTCAAAGGAAAGTGGAAATGTCCATCAATTGATTACTTCTCTCTCATTATACAGGGGGCACAGTTTCTAACAGAACTTGCACCTCTCT